TGTGGATGCATGTAAATACCTTCATGAATGCTAATGGCGCATTTACAATATAAAGCAACGCTCCCTAGAAGGTGAGGGAGCTGGAGCGTTGGGCCTTTCTTCATAACAGATGGTTACATCAAGCTGTAAATTTCCTCTGCACAAGGCCAGAAACTCCACAATAGTGTGACCCAGGCAGCGAGGGGAATAAAGAGCAGGAGGATGGAGGATGGAGGAGGAGAAAGTCAAGGATGAGCGTGCTCCGTGCTCGGCTGAAGCCCGGCCTGGGCCGGAGTTCGACTGCCGTGATTGTTGCCGAGGTGAAACGATAATCGATGACTGTCTATTATCAGTCGGAGGGAGAGAATTTCCGAGGGCCAGTGGAGACTGGGGGAGGTGTCCAGGGATAATGGTCAATGGGAAATTCAAGAAAAGGTCACATGCTTTCATGCATGAGAAACAACCACATCAGCTCCCCTTTTTAAACAACAGAGGTTGACATCACAGATTTCTGATCATTTATTATAAAAGAATGAAAAAGAAAGAAGAAACAAAAGCATTCACCTTGGTATTTTCCAGAAAAAGAGCCCTGTTGAGTGGACCGTCGTGCTGCAGCACTGCCTCTGATTGTGTTTCACTCTTTCTGCATTGATTCAATGAACTAAAATGAAATGAGACACATTCATTCCCACAGGACAAGACAAAAGCTCTCCAGAGTGGATTCACTGGCTGAGGTCTTCGCAGAGTAAAGAAAGAGAGAGAGAAAACACTAATGCAACACGGTCGCTTTCACCTCATGCATGTTGAACACACTGTCACTCTGGCAGGGTTTGTATGAAAAAGAAATCTGAATGTTGTCGTCTCACATTTTAGGTAAAGATTTGCTGACAATGATGATTGATTGTTCAGCATATGAACAAGAGTAGCTGTCAAGAGACAGTCACTGGATCAGTCATAATTACATTTTCAGGTTGGCACAGATCCAAACAGAATTCAGTCCAATTAGGAAATGTGCTGCGCTGGTGTAATGTTGAGTTTAAACTAGGTCTAAAGTCTGGGTCTGAATAACTAGGATTAATGTCTAATATGTTAGCATGATCAAAGACAATAGGTAAGGCTCGGCAAAACATTTTGTCATCACTGATGTGATGTGAGTTTTTCCTGCTGGAACAGAGGAAACAATATCGTGGTTTTTGATTTAAGATGAGGACACAGGCTCTGATGTTGTTCCTCCTTCACGCAGCAGCAGCAGCAGCAGCAGCAGCAGCAGCAGGTGATGAACCTCTGAAGCTCCAGCTGCTGATGCTGATGCTGACTTCTACCATGATATACACAGGCTTTCAGGTGGCGCCATCTCATGTGTTTGAGTGTCTGATGAGCACACGCACATGTGTAGCATTAATGGGTTTGTGAGGGCTGTTTTAATTTCCCATGTGAAGGCCAGAGAGCCTGTCCTTCTGACCCAGGCGTGTGTCAAACAGCCCTTCCAGAGCTCAGTGGAGAAAAACGGCCTTATTAGCCCAGTTCATTAAAATCATTAATAGTCATAAAACGAGAGGCACCAGAGTCCAAAAGGCTTAATGCTCCATCCATATTAATTAGACGCCCACAAATCTGGAGAGAGGGAAAGTGGAGCCGATGTAGCTCCTGGCCTTAACACACACACACACACTGTGGTTCAACCTGCACCCCTCAGCCTCTTCATGCAACTGTCACCATCCTCTACCCTCCTGTTACTACCCCAGATTAAATTCCCTTTTAATTAAAACTGATCACATTAAGAAACTGATGTGGTTAATTAACTGGACTCTTGTGGAAGTGTCTTCCTCCACGTCTGATGGCCCTGCATTGTTAAACACTTCCTTCGAGGGGAGAGGTGCTGCATGTAATACTTCCACCACTGACACCCCCAACACATCCTCTCTCTCTCTCTCTCTACGCTCCAGCCTCTCGCCCTTCCCCCCTTCTCATGGTCCCTGTTTCACTTTTAATTCAGCCCAAACCCGTCTGTCTTAACAAGGCGTTTAGCTTATTTTCAGGCTTCAAAGCTTTTAATTTAATATAAAAAAGAAAATCTCCCAGTAGAGCATCTCCACGTGCTGCAGATTCTCTTGCAAATTATTGCCCCTGCAAGTACTAGGATTATAACATCTGCATCAGTAGATGATTGGCTCTTTAGTAACATCTAGTGGCTGCTGTAGAGAACGGCAAGGCTAACAAAAAGCCGTAAAAACTGGCATCTACACAAAACAACTCTCTCGTCCTTTTGTGTAACAAGGTCTTTGCTTAAATATTACTGAATATTACTACGATGATAAAGTTACATTCTCAAACAGGAACAATGATGATAGGGATATTAAAATGCTCCTTTAAAACGTAGATAAATATTTTACGTATCACCGTTAGGACATTAGCCCACAGGAGTTATAAAAATAGCCAAAGGTTCTGAAACTGTTTCCAGAGAAGGTAAAACGACTCTTTGAAATCTAAAGGTGAAAAGCATCACACTAACTAGGTTTTTACACTGTAAAAGCGATAATAAAAATAAATATGGTAACTGAACAATGTTTATCTATCAAATAATGGATCTTCATAAATTTCTGTTGACAAACTCCTTAGATCAATGGGCAACTCGCTGGAATCAAGCATTCGCTATAACAATTAGTTAGTTATCAAAAACTAATCTACTCTGTGATCTGTATTCCTTTCACTACAGTCAGCGGTCGCACTTTTGTTAACGTTGTTGTGTCAGTCAGAAAACAAACACCCGGGGATGTTGGACGAGATTATTTAAAAACTCAATTGCATTTCCTGTATTTATCAGACACCTGGTACCATACACAGGAATAGATGAACAAACATATGCTAGTATTCAGTCATCGTCCCCTCCCACTCCTCCCCCCCCCCCCCCCCCCCCAAAGTCAAAACCAGCCGCTGCATTCACTTCCCATGTAGTTTGGTTGCACTAAAATCCAGAGTATCATTAATTGTCTTTCTATACTTCCTGCTTCTATATCTTTGTTAAACATTCCACACTCCATCCTTTACACCTCGGCCACACTAACCCCCCCCCAACACCCCCTTCTTCCTGCTTCCTCCTTGTACATCCTTGTGTTCCAGTTCTTGTCCGACCCTCATCACTGCCTTCTTGTCTTGTGTGTTCTCTCTCTCTTCTCCTTCCTCCCTCGTCACCTTGCCTCTGTTTCCTGTCTTCCTCGTCAGCCTCCGACCACACAACAGTCTTGCTCGCAGTTAGAAGTTATGGTTCGTGGCTGGTGAGCTGACAGAGCTACAGCAGAGGGCGAGATAAGGCTGTGACCTCTCTGGCCGGAGAGGATGAGATGAATATATTTACTCCCTGTGTGATGGAAGGCCCAGTCAGGGGAGGAGGAGGAGGTAACGGCCTGTGCTGTCCCTGGGCACCAAGCAACCAACTAAATTTGATCTATCTGTAACAAGGCTTCAGATAGGAGAGATAGGGCGAGGGAAAGAAGGATGATGAAACAGGAGGGGAGGGGAATCTTTCTTTGATGGATGGACGGATAGACGGAGGGATGGATGAATAGACAGATGGATGGACGGATGGATGGACAGAGGGATTGATAGATTGATGGACAGATGGATGGATGGATGGACAGATGGATGGATGGATGGATGGACAGATGGATGGATGGATGGAGGGACGGATGGATAGATTGATGGACAGATGGAATGATAGATTGATGGACAGATGGATGGATGGATGGATGGATGGACAGATGGATGGATGGATGGAGGGACGGATGGATAGATTGATGGACAGACAGATAGATCGATGGACTGACGGCTGGATGGACAGATTTAATTTTTTAAAACATATTTTTACATTTTGTCATTCCTTCATTATTTGAAATAACTCATTCATTTTTTCCCCTGTCCAATAAAATCCCTGTTATGTCTGTTAATCCTCATAAACACAACCAGACCTGATGCTATTCTGTGTCTTTTTTCTCTTGTGTCACACACAATCATGTCCCTGGGACGTGAATGTTTCCTGACATGTTTCCATTAGCGATCTCGTTCAGTGGCTGGAGTTACTGTAAAGAAAGGTTCTGTTGGAACAACAGCAGTTATGGACACTCTTTGTTTGAAACAGTAAAAGTCTATAGCTGCATTCCATAAGCTCTGTTTTCTAACCAAACAAAAAGACGAGCAGCTCAGAAAGAAACATTGTGTGAAGGACGAATGGGATTTTGTTGATCTTGGTTTGTTTTTAATTATCATTTTGGATTGCATACTGTTGCATAATATGTCTGACATAATATTATACACAGCTGTAGGAGGGCTGGGTCATTTATTTGTACATGGTTTAGTTTAATTATACAGTAGAATGGTCTTTATAAAGAACAGTACTGTAGATCATTAGTCCTGACTGCAGTAAACCCCAGTACACTTTTTGTTCACTTCTTAGGATTTAGTACTAGTTTAGCAACTAAATCATAATTAACTATAAATGAAAAATACATTTACCCATTTCAAATAAATGTAAACATTGTATTCCACAGCAAAATCATGTTTTATTTTGATATAGATCTATACTGACTGTGGATAAGTTAATCAAGTGCCAGACATCACCAAGCTTAAACTACATTTTTAAGAAAAAATAATCCTTTCCGTCCTTTCAGTTGCATTACTGCCACCTACAGGATCTACGATTTATACTTTTTTTTGTTTAACTTTGAGTACATTTCTGGATAATGTTTTGTATTTCTTAAGATCGTGTGCAATAAAATGAGAATTAGGCAAATATTATTTTCCTCTTTCAGAGAAGAGTGAAGCTGAGGATCCTCACGTTCCCTAAAAAGGTGAAGGTGAAGAACTGAGAAACAAAACAATGTCTTGTGATCTTCTGAGCTTGTCTTTATTTGAGTGTGTGTTTTGCCTTTCTTTTCTGTGTTTTGTGTGTGTGTCCACCAAACACATCATTTAACCAGTAGCCCAGAGGCGAAAACAACTCACAGAGTGTTTGTGGTTCCTCCTACCTGTGTGGATTGGGTTCAGAGGTCAGCAGTCACAGGCAATCAGGAGTAAATGGAGCCTGTGTAACACAAGACAAACGGCTAAGAGCTTTTGGACAACGCCAAGGCTGCAGTGTGTCTGTGCACCAGTGTTTGTGTGTAAGGCTAGTGTTGATGGTAATGCTTTTACATTCACTTTAAATGAAGACTACAAACATAAAAAAAACTGCCATTGGTTTTTTGTTGTTTGTTTTTTTAACAATATCACTAACTACATAAAGACTGCAGCAATTCCACACCTCGTTTATCCTTTTAGTCAGGTTTAACATGGTTACCACCCAGAGTCCTTCTCTTCCCCTGCTCATCCAAAGACTAATCCAACTCTCTTTTATTGTCTCAGTGACTAGTCTCCAAGCCTGAAAGCTCAAATCTCATAACAACTTGGAAGCATCATGGAGTCATGGATCTTACAAATTTGGCAGAGACAAGCTGCAAGAAAACCAGAGTGAGAGGCATGTCAAAAAGGCATTAAACTAACTGATCAGGCAGTCATACCTCAGTCTTACATCATCATAAAACATCATCCCATTTAGCAGCACAGTGGGAGTGGAACCATAACACATTTACATAATGCAGAGTCTTCACTAAGTTAATTCGCTGCTCTGACTCAAGTGTGAACCTAGAAGTCCTCTCTGTGTTCAGACTTATCTTCCCTCCTTCTGTATTGTGTGTTCATGAGTGCACTATCCTAGCATGTCAATGACTGTGGAAGACTAAAGGAGGCTCTCTACAGCCCTCTCCCAGCAGAGGAGTGATAGTCAGTGATACCACAGGGCATAACAGTAGGAGCAATAGAAACACATTAGCTCCTAAATCACATTGCTCTTCCCCACTGTGAAGTATAACTTACCCGGGTAATGGATGGAGCACACAGGGGAAGAGAGAGAGAAGCTGGAGGTGGTCGAGGTGAGATGCACACTCTCACCGATTGCCACTGACATGTGTGATCTGTTTTTAATTTTCTGCCCGTTTGAAATATGGAAGATGACTTGATTAAATTTTCCCTCCACTGGATACTGATGCAAGGCAGCACATGCTGCCTGACAGCACACACACACACACACACGACTGTTCACCTACAGTAAATCTTGCATCAGGAAATGGTCCTTCACACGCTCCAACAATATTTCATTTGGGCTCCAAACCCAAATGGAACTGAAAGCCAACGCATGCAAATCAGGGAGCAGCATCTGCAGTGCTGCAGCCGCGCTGCATTTGTTATGTGTTTGTTTTTAATTCAATGTTAGAACTGTTGCAGTCTTTGATAACAGGACACCACACCCAAAAAAACTAGTTGTATACTGAAATGGACATCTTATAAGAACAAGGTGACATGAAGAAGATGATAAAGTAGAAGAAGAAGAAATAAAGAAGAAGATGATAAAATGATTGAAAAGGAGGAAAAGTAAAAAAATCATTACAAATGTTTACACAGATGTTTTTACGTACATAGATTGTTTTTTGTTTGTTTGTTTGTTTGTTCATTTCAATTTAATTCTTCGGAACTAATGGTATGCAGAGACTGACCCCTGGCGTTTATGAGAGGCACCTGAAACCGAACGTTGAGCAACGTTTTCATTGATATTGGGCTCTATGCTACATTGTCAACCTCAGATTTGTATTTTGTAAAATAATAATAATAATAATAATAATAATATATTAGTCTAGAGGTTTCATATTATCTAATTATTTTCGTTTGGTATATTTCGCCTCTTTTTGTTGAGTTTATTAAAAAACTCAATCAGAAAAATCTCGTCAGAAAAATACTTAAGTATTGCAATGCCATCTAGTGGAAAAAAAGGATAATAACAAAAAGAATGGATACGTTTACTCTGTTTAATACAACTCGTCTTCGATAGACGTAAAATGTCCATTGACCACACTTTAGTATTCTCTGTACTGCGTTTGTTAACTAAATCAAGGCATCCCTGTTTAATTATTATATTTTCATTATTTTGTGTTTTTAATGGCAGGTGATTAACTCACTCATTAAACCGTCTGTGGTTCCAGTGGTCGTGTCCTGTTGAAGCTTGATCTCCATTGGTTCTTCTCCTAACCCTAAATTATTCCCCAGCCGTCAGAGGGCAGTGGAGTGGTAAATCCTGAACATCTATTTCAGGGACACATATAGAGACAAACAACCAATTAGACTTACACTCATTGCTATGGTCAATTCAAAGGAAATAACACAATCTGTTCTGCATATATGTGGACTGCGGTACATAACCAAAGGCAATGTTCAGAACTCACTAAGTAACCTGTATACCTCTTACCTAAAGACTTGGAATTGCACCAATGAACTGTGATCTAAAATCCACAGCAGTAACAGCTCTTCCATTATGTGACCATATTTACTCTTTAATCTCGACAAAATACTAATTAATCAATTAATAATTAAGACTTTAAATCCTAAATCCTGTATGTCAGTTACGTTTAGTGCAGCGGCGACAGGGGAGTGGACCCAAGAGTGAGACACAAACTCAATTAGTTGATGCTAAAGCTGTGACGTAAGTGGATGTACTGATGATGAACCGAGACTTGGAAGATTTGTAATACAGAAACACCTGCCTTAAACAGCTTTACCCAACGATGGGCGGAAAGATCTGACACTACAGGGCTTGATCAGTAGACCTAGGACCGGTGTGGAGATAATCACTGACGCGTCGGTGCAGGCGTGGATGCTGGCCCGCAGTAAATGACAATTGTAAAGGACTGGGTTTTAGTGTGCGTGTACATATTTTGCAGTAAACAGTGTGTCACTGTGTCTGTGGCCACAGGTGTTACTGGTGACTGGAGGGAACACTGCCTCAGAATGAACATGTGGGCCAACTGAAGTAACTAGAAGTAGCCTACAACTGATCAATGAGTCAGTGGAGGCTACAGGAGAAGTTTTATGACTACATGGAAATTACCATTCTTCGCAGTATTAGGTATTCAAACTGCATTCAGACACAATCTCATGCACGCGGCAAGTTGAAATAATTTGACTGTCAAACGTATGCATTGAATACTGGTCATATAAAGTATTAAAAATACAAGAAACTAACCTTGTTTAACGGCCCGGTAGCAAACTATGGCTTGTTTGCAGTCGCAAATTGGCCTATGTACGCACGCGCAGTTAACTCGGGCAGCAAATTTCCATGGGTAGGATGAAACTTCAGAACACCGGGTTGTCATATCAGGGAGTGTTTTGTGTATGTGAAGTGCGCACAACTCATAGAAAGCAGACAGCGTGCGAGTGTGCGCGCGCGTGTGCGTGAGTTCAGTCCAGACAGACAGACAGCGGGAGGTGAGGTTGGACGCAGTCACAGCGGTTAGAAGGAATGGTGTACGTGAACGGTCGGACAGAGAAAACAACGGGGAGAACGGTTGTTTTTATTTGAACGTCAAATGCAGCCTGGTTCTGTTACTCCATCACTGGACTGGAAGCAGCGACTGTGACAGACTGGTGCTCGTTCTGCGGCGGTACAAACACAGGTAAGACAGTGATTACAGCAGACACAAATGAACGATGCTGTGATAGTGTCTGATGACGTAGGTAGGCGTTTAATCAGTGAGTCGTTTTATCCTTACGTCACATGTTGACTGCTGCAAACAACCGCAGCAGTTTTCTGTGCCAAGGTCACAGCAACAGAAGATGCTGCGCAGTTTAGCTGTAGTGTTGTTCGACTACGTCACAGGTTTAACGCCTCCTCTCTGGTGATATATTAACTATTGCACCTCAATTAACTAATACGCAAAACTGTCCCAGTGCATGTAATCGTAAATGTTTTCATACGCAGATAAAATTTTGTTTTTTCTATTGGGATAGTTTACATGTTTAGGTCACATGTTGAGAGGGAACGCATACAGATTCTCAGGGTAGAACTTAAATTAAATTATCCTCCGGTTGATTTCTAGGTGCAGAAAAAATAAAAAAATATTTAGCGAATGCCTTTATTACACTTGTTGAATTAAAAAGAAAACCCAGAAATTGGCTACTTCTTATGTGCAACAGTAGTATGCAATGTAGGCTGCCATGTTGTATTTTTCAAAGCAACTTGTCAAGAATGAGCCACAGGAGGAGATTCACCTACAAGTTTGCATTTTCACTGTGGTGAATTACATTAATAAACAGACACAAAGCATGTTTTAAAAGACTCCTTGTTTTTTAGCATTTTATTTAATTTTGTACAGTATATTTATTTTATGTTTATTTTGTAGGGGCTCAGGCAGTGTCCAGGAGGAAATGTATTTTGTTTCTGTATGAACTCCATCAGATCATTAAAGAAGTTTGAGACAGAAGCACGGTGGCTTTCATTAACACACCACAGAGACTACACCGGTTACATATGCAAAGATTAGACTTATATATTTTTAATTTTCAGTCTTAACAACTGAACTGTTGTTTTTTGTTTTGTTTTTTGGTTTGGTTGTTTTTTCATTTTTTATGACTTGAGAGAGAGAATAATTGTCACTGTTTCACAGGTGCTGAAAATGGCAGCTTTTGACACCCTCCATGTTATTATATGGATTTCCAGTGTTATCACCACACCTCTCTGCTGCCCTCAGCCCTGTAGCTGCACAGATAAATATGGTCGTCACGTGGCCGAGTGTTCCTACAGCCACATAACGGAGGTCCCCAGGGGTTTGCCTTCTAATGTTACAACTGTGAGTCTGTCTGCTAACAGAATCACCTTTATAACAAGTGACACTTTTGACAATGTCACCAAGGTGACATCACTATGGATGGCTCACAATATGATCGCCTACATCGCACCAGGAACCCTCACGTCACTGATTCATCTGCGCAACTTGGACGTCAGCCACAATAAAATTGAAGACTTTCCCTGGGAGGACCTGCAGAACCTCAGTGCCCTGCACCTGTTAAAGATGAACCACAATGAGATGACCCACCTGCCTAGAAACGCCTTCTTCAACCTCAAAAACCTGAGGTCGCTTCGAATCAACAATAACAAATTTACAACCATAGCTGAGGGAACGTTTGATAGTCTGGTGTCGCTGGAACATTTGCAGATTCATAACAATCCATTTGTCTGCTCTTGTTTACTTGATTGGCTCACACACTGGATCTCAACCACAACCACCCTCTCACTCCCAAACCAAGATCTGGTTATTTGTGCTGGTCCTGAAAAACTCAGAGGGGAAAGGATCATGGCATTACCAAAGTCTGAATGCACACGGCCAAAAGTTACGATAAAGTCTGAACCAAACATCCACGACTCTGCTGTTCCTGAGAACACCACGCTGGTCCTGACCTGTGAAGTCAAAGGATACCCAAAGCCATTGGTTATGTGGAGTATTGATAGAAAATCACAGCGGCAGGAGCTGGCTCTAACATTCACTAAGGAAAACCAGAGTGAGTCCAGTGATTACATCCTACTGTCCCAGCATCACTTCCAAGTTTTTAACAACGGGACTCTCATCATCCCCAAACTTCAGAAAGAAGACGTTGGAAGGTACAGTTGTTCAGCCTCGAACGAGCTTGGTCGAGTCGAAGATTCTGTGTCAGTGCAGGTGCTGGAACCAACAGACGTGAGGCCGACGACAACCACCGACTCCAGGACATTCAAGAAGAGGACAACAGAGGAGCTGTCTGTTCTCAATACAGAGAGTCGTCCTGATGTCAACAGGAAATTCTACATCAACATTTCACCGTCTATCTTGCCCACTGCAGAAGTTGGTACTAGTTCTAACACACAAGAAACAAGTTATCCATCACATGACGGTAAATGTGGCCTGACAGCTAACACCAGATTTATTTCTGGCCATGTCTATAATGGGAGCCTGCATGATATCAATGGGTTTGCATTTGACTTTGGGGTTTTTGCATTATCTGTATCAGAAACAGAGGCCACATTGCAGGTCAGTCCTATTTTCATTCATAGACAGAAGAATTCCAACCCTAATACAGAACCTGGAAGTCCACAGACTGACCCGGAACATCCTGCCGACTTGTATGTTTGCATCACGGCTAATCAACAAGAAGCCGATGTCCAGTGGACACGAATCGTTGAAGGAATTAAAACATACAAGATTAGCAATTTACGCCCTGGCACCAACTACTCCCTGTGTGTGACTCACACTATAATGGACTGTGAGGTTCGTGTTCTGTTCACAACCAGAAAGAAGGTAACAAACCTCCTGATCATCATCTCCGTAAGCATCTGCCTCCTGACCGTGTCCACCGTGCCCCTGCTAGGAGCAACGTGCTTCCACCTAGTGTACAAATATCGCAGCAAGACCTACAAGCTGATCCTGAAAGCCAAAGACCAGTGTCACATGGAGAGGAATCTGACCGTTAACTTCAACATCCACAGACCTTACACTGAGTCTCAGAGCAGGATCAATGTGAGTCAGATGGAGTTGGAGGCAGAGACTGAGAGTAAAGATGGAGAAAGGGAGGTGGATACAGAGGAGAGTGTTGTGACTGAGTCAGTGACTTTGTCCCAGGGCAGAGGGAACTTAGAGGACAGTGAGGCAGGTTCTGAGTTCAGTGACAGGTTACCTCTAGGTGCTGAAGCACTCATCACCTAATGCCTAATGTGAGCCTTGTAATCTGTTCCTTAGTTTAATATCATTTGTTGCTGCTGTTGTGTTATTGACACCATAGCATTAATTCAAGTTGTATGGTTGAGGGTCATTGTTTGGTCAAGACTGACTTTTTTCTATGTTAGAAAAACATTTTTATTAGTCATAAAATATATTTGATATACTGTATGATGGCCTAAAACTGAACAATGTCAGTATTAATTCTAATAACGACACCTTCCACATTTGGCCTCATGACTCATGTTTGGTAACACAGGCCGTGGACAGATTGGTCCGAGCTGTAAAAATACAAATACAGTATTTTTTTTTCTGTAGATATTCACTACTTTAAATGAGGGTTTAAGTAGAAACAATCAAAGTAGTTTCAGTTTTACACTCATGTCTTAAACATACACATAAATTATTTAATGTATATTTGTGCCTTTAACAACTCGACAATCAACAGTTTATTCAAGTGTCATTGGAGGGGTAATATTACCACAAACATGGATATAATTATGAAATATCTGAAATGGCCCTGCTACATTAAAATAAAAATGTAACATAAATGGAAGAAGAAGATATTAGAGTCATTTGAGCACCTGTCTGATGATCCACATATAGAGATAAAAGAATTGGTAAGTCGAAGTAATCATTAAATAAATGGACCTCATTTCTTCCATCTGAAGTCAGGTAACTGTCCAGATATTTATAATATCGATCAGAAAGCCACTACACGTGATGTTAGCAGCAGTCCATGTGCTAAATGTGACTCCGTGTATACAGAGAGTCTGCTTCAAAGTCTAGTGAACCTGTGCTGTTCAAGTAGCTTAACAACAGACCAACAGCCTTGGAGTCCTGCAGCTGTCAGCTTCCTATTGGATCATTTAAAACAGACGATGGCGATTGTTTCGCCATGTGGAATAATAGTCGTCTATCACTTTGTTTACTGCCATGATGGTAAAAATGTAGGCAATACTGTGTTGTGTGTGCAACGGTTCAAGCACCAGTTGAAGCTCTTATTATAACAGGGTGATTCTGTGGTTTAGTCCAGTTTAATGTGTTTCTGATGCTTCTCAATGTTGTGACTCACACTAAACTGCCTACTGTGTATGTCTTGATTCTGTTTGAAGAAATGACATGGTAAAGAGATATTTAATTCTGTATGCTGTAAATTCAAACTTATAATCCAGTTCTGGTATTACTTAATAAAGTTAGCCTTTTATTGTCTGATATTGATTTGTGTTTCTTAGTAACTGGAGCCATTCCTAACCACCATGAACAGATCATCAGTCCATCAAAATTTAGAGATCACCAAATAATTAATACACACATTCAGAGCAGAGGGTTGTTGGGTGTCCAGTTTAGTGACTTCCTTTCCAAAAGTGTGGAAGGAACCAAGGATATCAGCAGAACTTCAAGTTCCTCAGCATCTACACCACTGACACCAGTGAGGTGGTCACAGACGGCAGAGAAGAGGAAACAGGTTGTGGACAAGCACTCCTCAGTCACTACAGATTACAATGGTTTGGTTTGGTAACACTACAGCAACAGATGATCATAAAAAAGACTGCTTCAAACATCATTGGAGCACCACGGCCACAGATTGGAGACAACTGCTGTCCCTGATCAGGTAAATATCTGCTGCGTGTCAAAATGGTTGAGAAACACAGATATAAATGTATATTTTAATACATGTGTATACACTGTATATTGAGTTTATTCTCCAGAAAGCCATTAACTTTGACTAAGTCAAACACCCATCACTTAGGGTTATACAAGGCCTGTGTGTTCAGCTACATGAACAAAGTCAGACTAAATACATACTTTGAATTTTACTCAGTTTTGTTTTGACCTCTGGAGGTTTCTTCAGGCTCTATGGCTGACCTCTTGTTGCCCTTGTTACGAGGTTCCGTTCTGGACGTGCTCTGAGATCTGCAGAGACTGGAAGTGCTTCCTGCAGCCCAGCAGGGAGGGGTTGTTGACCAGAGTGTACAAGAGCTGCCAACGAGCACGGATCCTGCGACTGCTGCTGGCTCTGGTTGGTCTGCTCACCTGAATCCCTGAAAACATGATGAAGACACCCAGGTTTAAAGAGGTGAGGGTGGTGGAAGAATAAAAATGTAACCTTGTGATTAAGGCATCGGACAAGACAAGACTCAGTGATGCTTTCAAGTTAAACAAGTAAATAAAGGAAATCTGTAAAACATCAGTGGAAGAAAAAAAGAAAATGAGAAAAGAAAGTAGAAGAAAAACAAACATTAAATCTGTAGCTTTGTGTAGAATGAGGATTAAATTGTAAATGAAGTATCGTGATGATTGGACATGAAATGGTTATGGTAATGTACACAAGAATGGTCACTCTTAGTGTGAGTGTGAGTGCAGCTCCGGCCCTCTACCTTCCTCTGCGTCTCTAATTTTCTGTCCCACTCCACCACCTTCCACCATCATGTCCAACAGCAGGCTGCAGAAGGCCTTAATCACAGGGTGGTTCTGACTCACCTCCACCCTCAAGAACTGGATGTAGTAATAGTAGGCTGAACAGAATGAAGGGTCACACCTCATGATACAGTCATAGAGTCTTCTACAGTGATGTAACAGTGTGTGATGATCCACCTGGGTCGTAGGTCTCTGAGGTGCGGTGCAGCAGGCTGATGTCAATACGACCCAGATGCAGGATGTTGTACAGAGCTGTGATCACAACTCTCCAGATAGCAACGATCAGTCCAGCCACAGTGTTGACGAGGAAGAGCAAGTAGGTCAGAAGGAAGAGGCTGTCTCTGGAAATCAGTGTGAGAAGAAGTCAGAAAAAAGAAATCATCTGCCAGAGTTTTCTCATAAGTAGTTGATAAACAACACCTAATAAACTATTTTGGGATGTTTCCATGGAAAACCTAGCTTTAAAGCCTTGATCATTATATAAAGTTTGTTTTTTAAACCAAAAGACACCACAGACATCAACAGAAGCCAGTCTCCTATTGGACATCTGTCTATCGAAGACGCACATTTTGTCTTTATCTCATGTTATAGAGGAGTTGATAACAAAGACTTCTTAAAGATCTTATAATATAAAGTATTAGGCTCATTTTCCCTCATGAACCTCTACTAACGTGGTTGTTTCAACGCCCTGTGGAGGCGCCCACTAGTGGCTATCTGCTACTTCCATGTAATTTCTATGTTTTTTTCTTTTTTTTCTCTCCATTTTACCTGTTCTTCAAATCTCTCATTCCTCTTTCATCTTTGATAAAAGCAAACTTAGCAGTTACATGCTGCAGCACCGTCACCAGTATGAGTGTGACCCAGGCAGGCCTGAGAAATTAAATAAAAGATACAAAAAATGGTCTTTGTTGTTTGTGTTATTAAGAAAAATTAAAGAAAAGAAAAAGAAAGAAAAGACAGACTTGTGTGTTTGAGTCTCACCAGGATTTCCTCGCGATTTGAAAAACAATGATGTTACGGCCATAGAAAACGGGGATGATGATCAAAAACACAAGAAACAGGAAGCAGATGAAAAACACCACGGTTTGGATCACCATTCCTGTGAAGAGAAGGCACAAGGAAACAAATATATTCACCAATATACTGTTCCTTTTCTTACAAACAACATGTTTTAAACAAATATTATCACTGCTCTCAGTTAATCTGATTATGTGCTTATAGTTTGCACTGAGGAGATTAGGCGACAGAATGGAGTCACGTTAAGCCGCGCTGAGTGCATCTCCCTGGTTCCTTGACCACAAAAGGCGACAACACAAAACAACTATTGTACTATAATATTCCGGTAAAGATATCTCCTGGTTAGTCATGTCAAAATTAGGGATGTCCGATAATATCGGTCGGGCGATATATATCGGACATCGTGTGCCCTAAAAATAGTTTTGGGGGAAGAATACTATATATTAAAGTGAAAATCACTAGATGGCAGCATTGCAGCTCATTTAATTAATCTCATACTCGTACAGAGGTTTGTACAGATAAATAAATAAATATTACCAGGCCTATATCGATATCGGTTGATAACGAAATTGGAAATGTAGTGTTTGGACAATATCGGCATATCCGATATCAGCAAAAAGTTATTATCGAACATCCCACCCCAGTAAAAATGGCAGATTGAACATTTAAGATGTAACATTTAAGCTACGGAGGATCTTGTCAGCGAGGTAATTTCATCCTAAGAGATTCAGTAGCCAGTCCAGTCGTCTACTTGCTAACATCAAGTGTTTCTTCAGGCTTTACCGAGGCAGACGATGGCAGCCTGGTACCCAGTCAAACCCATCCAGCAGACCACACCAGGTTTGGATGGAGAAAGGGTCTTCTGGTGGTTGTAGACTTTGTAAATATCTCCCTTATATATTTCTTTCAGATTTGACCTATAATCAGATGTAGATTAGGAGAGAAGTTAAACTGACATGTTGAGAAGTTGGTCAGTGTCTACTCCTTTAGACACGGCTCTTACCTGTGGAGAACCATGGACCTCATGAGCATCACCAGACTGACCAGACAAGACAGAGTCATGGCACAAAGGTAACACACTGACAAACAAAACCAAGACAAATAATTACAAAAACAAACAACAACAACAAAAACGCTGATTATTTTTTATTTAAAGTGACAGCGCTCACCTTCCAGCAGCCACGTATAGAACGTCACAATTTTTACAACCTCCATCCTGTCATCTGATAGAACAATCCCAAAGCCCAACAGCATAAAGGCAATGTTTTCATCAATACCAGCACGGACGATGTGGAGAGTGGGGATCACCAGAACGACCAACAACATGGCCGTCTGTAGTAAACAAAACCAGCGGGTACAGTGTTGACAGGATACAGAGGTGCGTGCATTTATTTATATTCATTGTTTTCAAACTCACATGATAAATCGCCACAAAGGCAATGAATGCAGAAACAGCCAGCTTCAGTGGAAATCGAAACACTGGATGACACACATGTTCATTACGTCATAGATTTTATAACGTCCACACGTAGAGAATGCCCTGTTGAACACTAACTCACCTTGTTCAGGGACATAAATATAACCTTTAACTGTCTTCACTATTGTTTTCATCAGCGACTGTTTGTCTGTTGAGCCAGAGCTGATAAATATGGACACGAGACTTCAGGTTAATGTTGGCAAACAGACACGACATTAACAAACACACAACATGGAGAAATGCAAATTGTTTTCAATTTCAAATTTAGTTATTATTACATTTCATGTCTGACCTTTCAACAGCACAGAATCAATTTTTTTTTTGCACTTGGGCATATACATATATATACTATTAAAGAATATACAGTTAGTGTTAATGGACCAACAAAGTTATGGTCCCATAATGTCAGACCATTGTCTCAGTTTCTCTCACCTGGCAGCTGAAAACCTCTTCTTGAGAAGTAACTTCACGTATTTAGAGTAGTAGCTGCTGTCCAGGTCCTGTGGAACAGAATTCAACTGTGTTACTCTGAGAACACTGTCGATGGATCACTGCATCTAAAGGAGTTGAGGGCTCAGAATATCATAACTAGGACATTAACCATATGGGGAGGAAGAATCACACAAATATTTTTTTCTGAATTCAAACACACTCAGTGAATACAAAGAGCTTTAGGGAAAACCACAGGCTTCAAAGTTTGATGGTAAAAATAGATTAGATTTTCCTGTTTAATATTTTATCACAATAAGAATTTTCAGAGCTACTGACCAAACTTTAACAAGGATTAAAATCTACTGCTGTTTCTTGAAACATTTTTTCCTTCTAATCCACTGCTGGAATAATCCCACTCCATCTTGTGTAAGCAGCTTACAGCATACACAGCTAAATTCATGTTTCTTACATCATTCTCACCAAGGCCTTTATATCGTTTAACAAAGGACACATTATTTTTGTGCCGTTTGTTTCTCACCTCCTCAGTCATTGGTCCTTTGACAAAAAGCAAAAGAAACCTGCCGCAGAGGAACGCCAGACAGACGAGCTGAGGAAGACTTGCAAGTAGAGCGTAGTATTTGTAAATCTGTTAAGAGGAAAATTGGGTTAAAACGTTTTCTAAAGACAAGATCAAGCAGTGGTTTATTCGACCGTTCACACACATCAACATGACAGTGTGTAGACTCGCCTCTGGAGTTTTTGGACAGTCAAATTTCTGCCACACCATGACACAAAAGTGACTTAAGGAGAGCAGGGATCCAAACCCATATCCCGCTGGACGCTGCAGGGTCCAACAGACCAACAGGGGATAATACAGGAGAGGGTAGTAGAAGATGGCCAGTATTTTCATGTACTCTGGAACATGAAGGAAAACAGAAAGTCCTTTAAAGGGCAGACCATAAAATACTCAGATGACTAAAATGAATTTATTATTTAGCATCAATGGAATATTTTTTACTTATTCTGTAGATTTCCCTGACATTAGCAGGTGATCAGTATGATTCTGGGTGGAAATGTTTTTATATAGAGGGGAATTACCCAGTAGGTGGCAGTAATGTACCTTAAAGGATGCAGAGTGTATTTCAGAACTACCAGACACAAACACAAGTAAAAGGGTGTACAGTATAGCTTTTAAACCTGTGGTTGATGTCGTAGGGTCACTTGGTGTTCTGTTGGTTAGTATTGCATGTTCTTTTGTGTTTGACATTTTTCTCTGGGTATTCCTGTTTTCTCCCACAATCCAAACAGTCCTAGGTTAACTGTTCACTCTACACTAACCAAAGGTATGAATGTGAGTGTGAATCATTGTCTTCACATGCGAGACAGTGATGTTTTACAGCAGTGATTCCCAAATACTGTTCCACAGCACACTATGAAGTAAATCCAATTTTACTTAGTAGGTCTGAAAACCATTATTTATATACTGAAAATATTTATCTTTGTCTATCCAACAATGACCAGAACAATTAGGTAATGTTCCACTAGGTGGCAGCAGATAGCTATAGAAAAGGGGACTAAAAGATGTTGAAGATCTTCCCATTGTTTTCTTCAATTACTTCAATAATAATAATAATAATAATGTGTTCATCTAAACAGGCCAATATTTCATTTCTGTTTACGTTTTGGTACATTTCAGTTGTAACTGTTTACCTTTTATTTCGGCTGGGGTTTCTTTGCAGAAAGGAAGAGGGTCGGGAGCAATCAGCAGTGTAGCTAGTTTGCTAAAGACCAGTCCAAAGACAGCCATGACCAGGCCCTTCTCCTGAGTCTGGTCCAGGAAGTTGGCTGGACTACAACAGAAAGATTGCAGGTTATAAAGATACGTATATCCAGGCAAGTCTTGAAAGGTCGCACTGATCTATGTTTGAACAACCACTACGTCACCTGAAGATGCTGGAGGAGCCTCTGGTGAATCCACGGCAGAGCTGGTGTTTCCTGGTCAGAGGTGCCAGTGCCAACATGACCGCCAACTAGAGAGAATAACAAATGTACTTCATTACAACCTGGAAAACTTCAAATTGGCCTCACTGTAGATATCAGGTTTAATTTAGTCACTGCGTTTTTCTCAGAGTCGTACAGTGGTTTGTTAGCATGATATGTGGATTTCTTTTATGTTTTAATTACTGTAAATATACTCACAGATGTTGACACCATGCATATGTGGAAGATCCTGTCGTCTGCCATAGGGTCACAGGGTAAAATAACTCTGTAAAACCAAAACAAGTAGAGCTTGCGTTTCATTCTTGATTAACGGTAGCATTAGTCGACTTCTCTGACCGAGCTGCAGTTAAATCACCACTATTCACACAATACAAGTATCTTTTTAAATCTGTTGCTATGTTTGTGTGTGATCAAAATTAATTCTTACGATGACATCATCATTTGAAGTTTATCATCACATCACAGGGTCATTTTGTGCAATTTATCCAAATATTTCTTGCAATAATAAATAAATATATGCAATACAGAAGGTATGCAATATAAAAAAAAAAACTTTTATTTTATAATGGTAATGAAGTCACTCACTCTCTGGGCGGCTCCGTCGGTTCGGCATTGTTAGAATACCAGTCTGGATAATCATAGTAGGAATAATCAAAAGGTTCAAATTCAACCTCGCTGTGGTTCATTGTTAATTAAAATGTCAGAAACTCCTGATCGTCCTCTTGGTCAGGTTAACCTCCACCACTGATCTGCTGCTGCTGCTGCTGCTGCTGCTGTTGTTGCAGCAACAGTTTGGACCAAACACATTCCAACCCAACTTAGAGTCAAACGCAGCAGATTAACAAATATCCCACAATCCAGGCAGGCTCCAGTTTCATGTGTTCAAATATAAAACACACCAAACAATCAAACTTACTCAAATAAAAACTCATAAGAAAATTCATGATTCATAAGCAGCAGTTTAGGATGAATCATCACATATTCTCCTGTAAATGCTTCTATTCAAGATACAGTATGAAGTATACATTTGGTAAAGCAGCTACAAATGTATTCTTTAAAGCCTAAATTACCTCTTACTATGAAAATGTTACCTGAATCTTAAGGGCTCCTGCACGTAACAGAACTCACTGGTGTTAGATAAAGTATAGTAATCCAATTTAAATTTGATTGTAATTTTAGTTTCACCGACATCAAAGTAAGAAATAAAGGAGCAAAACAAAGTCATTAAATATGGGTTAATATCACCCATGGATGATGGAAGAAAATTGAAATAAAAAAGAAAAATAATCTAAAAAATAAACAAGGTGGTTGTTTTATTTTAATCCAGCATTGTGTCCATCTGTGCCTGTTGGCTGAGGGACTTATGATAAGTTGTAAATCTCTCCTTTAAACAGTGGAGACCTTTGTGTGAAAATGGAGATTAAGAAAAGGCCAAAAAGAATGTTGGTTATTGAACACCTGAGGTACAGACCAAGACCTTACAACCATGTTCCTGAACCCTAAAGTGATGTCTGGTGTAAATGACCAGCAGCATGAGAGTCTCCCGTCCTTCTCTGTATCAGAAGGTTGACAACCAAAGCTCAGTGTCACGTCTAAGTCCAATCTCTCACTATGATCACAGAGCACTGTGGTCACACACACTCACACACTCACACACAGTTGCATTAGTTCACTATCAACTCTTACTTCTTACATATATAACATATACTTCTGGTTCTTTTATTGAGCTTTTTTACATTCAAAGACTTTTTTAAACAAATGTTTCTTTTGTTGAATTACCTGTGATCACTGACAGCCTCACCCAAACCCAACAAAGGGTGTCTTCTTCTCTGTTGTTCACTGGTAGTTGGTAAACTGGTGCATTACTGCCACCAACTGGATAGTGATGTGACTAGTCCATAGTGAGTGGTATATAAAAAGACACTGTGGAGAATGTAACAACGTGTGTGGCTAGTCTCATTTGAAAATCAAAGATGTTTATTTGGTCATGTGACCCCGGTGGAACTAATCTTTAAGCATTAGAGACTTTTCCTTTAAATATAATAACATGAGACTGAATGTTAAATTAATTAGGAAAAATGCTGTGTACAATAAAACAAAAGTCACTGTTTCACACCCTTGAATAGTAATACTTTAAAAACAATTATTTTTAAATATTTTCATTTCTGAGAAAGAATTGTGAAAGAATACAATGTCAAACCATGTATTTTGTTTTATTTCATTTTAAAGGTCACTGAAGTCATCTGAGCCTAATGTGACATGTATGGTGATGAATGTGAAGCCGTCTGTCTGATCATCATGTCTGTTCTACGTGCCTGACATGGAAAATACTAAAACAATTCAGACTTAATTAAGAAATGACACCATGAATATGATACACGTTGGTCAGCAGTGGTACACAGACAGTATGTCTACCATCAACTGACGCACAAAGAAATCAACACTGTTGTAAAAGACATGAGACAAAAACGAAAAAGTCTGAATGCACTACCAAGACAGAGAGTGTGGTGACCAGTGAAACAACAAATAAAGTGGCTCTCAATTAGAAAAAAAGAACTGCACACATGTTTGATATGGATTCGAACTCACAAAGATAATTGTCATGTGTGTAAATATAGTGGGGCCAGTCTTTTAGTTTTTAAACATATCACAGAGCAGTTTCTCCATGGGAGTGTTTCCAATAGTTCTGTGAAAGAACAGCAGCTCTATCCGCTCAGATGTCACAAAGCGCAGAGAGGGAAGAAGGAGAAGCAGCTTTCCAAACCTGCGAACAAACACACAAAATATATAAATACATTTCCATCTCAAAAAAGCACGACATTGTTCTTATGGCTTTCAGCAGTTAGAGCCCTCTAGTGGCATTGCATGGGAAGTTTCATTTATGTTCAAACCTATGGTCAATTTTGATTGTCCGGTTAACTGAATCAACCATGTTCATGGACTGTGTGAGAAAACCACTGTAGAAAACAGGAAGAAAACAGACACACACACACACGGCGAGAACATTCAAACTCTATACCACCCATTACCACTAGAGGCTCTAGTGCTGATATTCTTGCTGTCAGGTTGATATTTACTAATTCCAAAAACCTTTCTACCACAGGTTGACCCTAAAATCTGAAAGTTTGTCACCCACTCATGTGATCTGTTTGTTTGTTTGTGTTTGTGAGTCCAGGTAAATGCTGCATGCAGCAGTAGAATGATGGGACGTGAAGTTACCTGGCGGGCTGACTGGGGTAGTGTGAGCGGATGTGTTGTCCCAGCATCACCTGAGACTGATCCTGAAGGTTCTCTACTTGTTCTGGATCTTTTAACCCTCTGGTCTCTGTGAAGTACAGTAAAAGCTTTGCTTCAGTCACAGCCTGAGCTTATCTGCTGTATGTGTCCTGATATCATACTGATTCCTCACCTGGTTTAAAAAGTACGATGGCTTTTAGGCAGGCAAACTCAGTGGGATCGACAGCGAGGGCTTTGAAGCGACTGAAGACCTCCTGCAGGAGGCGCAGGTCCAGACTGGTGTAGCTGCTCTTCCCCTGCATGCCGGGACAAAGGTCCTGCAGGGAGAGCAGCGGGCAGCTGTCCAGTGGCAGTGACCACTGGATGGCGCAGAGCAGGAAGAGCTCGCTCCAGGCCTCCTCCAGCAGAATCACCTGGTAAAGTGGGCGGTGATGAGGATTTTGAGGAATCAGAAGGAAACTTCAAGCTACACACTGTAGGTCTGCAACTCTTTCTGAGTAGGTAGAAAAACCGACCTTTGCCCTTACCTGATCTCTGAAGGGCAGGTTAGAAAACACCGGCAGGTTCTTGGCCCATTTCACGGAGACGAAGAGCAGCCTGGCTGAAGTCTCGTACACGTTCTCAGAGCTGGACGGATACAGAGCCATGTGATACTCTGAGGACGATCTCTCTGGCTCGTTGCTGGTGACATCAACATTTTCATCGACTGAGAAAGAAGAGAGACAAAGTGATAAACCATGAGCGCTAACACACTCTTCATTTTCTGTTTTGTTGTGCTCGGGATTGTATTTTACAAATTGGAAATTATATTCTTTTGAAGAAGACTTTATTAGCGTTTTTGATTGAGTTTTTGATTAAAAACAGAATGTTTCCTTTAAGGAAGCAGCTTCTTTTTCTTTTCCTACGGTGTGTGTTTTACTCATTCAATTTCAAGTGTTGTCATGAGGTCATTCAGTCCACATGTACAGTACCATAACCTTTTTAAAGGTTCTTAACCTTCAGAACCTCAAAGTGAACAACAAGTGAAGAAGGTTAAACATGAAAGTGAAGATGATTTTTTTTCTTCTCAGTTCCTGGCCCAGACAGGAAAGTCTTCTACGTCTGGATCTAGATCACCAGGACTCTGCTGTTTCTGACCTGATCATGACAATGTTAAAACACACAGTTATGAGGCCAGCTGACTCATTCTTAGTCTGTTGGTCTGTGTACATGAAACCCAATTCCTGGTGTTCCCTTCAACAATGGCCTTATTCTGTGGAGATAAAACCATTAGAGATTTTTAATCCCTCTGTTCCTCCCATCCAATTAAAAGCTGCTCACTCTCTGTCTCTGTTTAATAATCCCTTCCTCTGCAGCATGTCAGCGACATAATGGTATGAAGTGTGACTGAAACATTCCTTTGTTTGTCACTTTAAGGTTTGTGGCAGTTCTTTGGTAGATTGTGATGTATACTGACTCTTTTAACCTGTTCTGAATATAACTTTCTGGTTAAAATGCAAGTCTCCAATATCACCCCTCCACACACACACACACACACACACACACACACACACTCACCGTCCTCAGGCTCCAGCTTGGCGCAGGTTTCAGCCGTCATGAGGCTGGCCATGAAACGGTGGTTGTTCTGGGGACTGATGCAGCGCTGGGGGGCCACGGAGGAGGTGATGGACATGGAGGATGTGATGTGGGGCCACGTGATGACACTGGAGGAGGACGAGGAGGAGGAAGAAGAAGAGGAGGAGGAGGGCTCCCTGGTGGTGGCCAGGTGCTCTTTCTCTGGGTCCACGTCAATGGAGTCCAGATGGACCTGAGCGGTGCTGCGAGGCTGCCGTTCGTTCTGCACGGCTGCAGGTCAGACAGTAGAAAGGTGAGGGAATAAAAAGAAGAGTGTTTGAGAGCTAATAAATCCATGTTCCAAAAATGTTCAGTGTATACTGTATATCAATTGGAAATACATTGGAAGGTTAATTTTTTTAGATGTCGCACTTTCACATTAAGGCAGGATGCTGAGACCACCTACCATCTTTATTCATGCCCGCCTGCAGACACTTCTTTAGCCGACATGCCTGGCACTGGTTGCGGTGAGCTTTGTCCACTGGACACAGGCCTGTTCCAGCCTGACATCTGTTGGTGAACAGAGACACGACGATGGAAACTGAGTTTATTCAATGTTTGCTTTTCCTCATGCTTAAAATATTAGTGCTGTAAATTTAAAATGTAATTGGACAACTTCACTGTGTGACATGTATATTTACCTACAAACATACAGTATGTAGGTGATTTGTATTGAATGGGATATTAACATATATTAATGTCAGCAATAACAGGATTTTAATTTTAAATAGTTTAGTTAATTCAAATAAATCTTGGCAATAAAAATGATATAGCCGTACTTTAAAGCAGCCAATCACAGACAGTTACTGTGGGATTTTACATTTTAAATAAATATTACATTCCTTTATTTCCTGTGACCCATTTTGTGAACAATTTAGGATTACTTGGAACATTACTTGGAGCACAGTAGGAGCCAACTGGATGGTAATGGGCTCTAGAAAACACTTCAATTCTTCATTCAAGTGGCTTCTTCTTCTTCTTCAGGTCTAACCGACTGCAGGAAAATCCTGACATTTAGCCTCAGAGCAAAACAAAGGAGGTGAACTCCAGTGGCAGGATGTTGTGATCACCTGGATCAAGGTTGGCACCAACAGAGGGTCTCAGCAGGCGGCGTGCTCCTTGAAGTCTGTCTGAGTCAGATTGTTCTTGGCTGAAGGATAGGTAGCTTCTCAATCCACCTCCTCCTCTTCAGAGAGAGTATCTCCAAGATGGTTTCCTTCACTCTTTCGAACCATCTGTCGTCTCTTTCATCAATATGTGCATTTCCATCATAAACGTGTCATTTGTCCTTGACATCCATTTGCACATCTCAAGGACAAAGACATCATTTTTTTCCCACAGTCAGTTAGAACTGAAGAAGCCTCTTGGATGAGAGGTGAAACCGAGACAAGTGTTGACTTTTACAAAACTGCTTCAAACAAAATGATCTGTTTGATAGAGAACCTACGTAGACACACTGTGATGACCACAGTTCAGCATAACCTTTGGCATCAGCAAATTTTAAAAGAACTATCTGAAAGCAATTATCAGAAAGAGTTTGCACTTCCTGTCCGACCTGTAGATGAGCCTCCTCCTCACGCTGCGTTTGAAGAAGCCACTGCAGCCGTTGCAGGCGTAGATTCCGTAGTGTTTTCCACTGCTGGTGTCTCCACACACTTTACAGACCAGAGCCGGACTCAGAGCTTTGCCCGGGGCTGGACTCTTGGCTGTGAGGCAAACATAGTAACACAGGCCAGAGCCGTTAGTGCCATTCATTTGGTCTGGTATTGTTTAGTACTTGTGCCTGCCATCTGTACTCTGCAGGAGCCTCAAAACACACACACTTCTCATAACGCTACAACAAAAATAAAATACAAAAAAAAGATCTTTACATATTTAAAATAAACTTCATCTATAAAGTATTAAAAAAAACTTATTGTGAAGATCATTTGGTTTTTATGTGTAATTTTTGAATCATCTTAAACCTGTCAAAGATGTGGACGTCTTACCTCTTCTGTCATCAGTTCCACCGCCAGACAACTCACTTGGGGAAGAGCAAGGCATCATGGGAATCTTTGAAAGGTGATCCTCCATCATTTCAGTTCCAACACCAAAGGACCACTTGTGTTATCCAGGAGGAGCAGAAGAAAAAGGTGAAAAACAAAAAGTTCCTGTTGCTGAAGAAACCACGTTTTAAAATCAAAAGTGTGCGTTGACAGCGGTGGAGTTCCTACTGCGCTGCTGCAGCCTCTGGTTTGGAGATGCAGATGGACTGAGGTCCTGCCATGAGTGGGAGCTGACACTTGTTGCACATGTACAGGTTGTGTGCCGTCCCTCTGACAGTCAGGGTCAGACGGTGTCTGAGGGTGCTCATCAGTGGCAGCTCCTCAAAAGAGAGTCCGGGGGGTGGAAAGGGGAGGATTATCCCCAAGCGTTGCAGTGTAAGCAGCACGCTTATTTGTCATCTCCTTAATCTTTACTGTTCATCTAATGGATCAATCAGTCACATTGCCACAACTATGGTGAGCTATCAAATAAAACCAAAAATCCCCTCTGCTCCGTCTTCCCGAGGCTCCTCGGTCCATGTGAGCCTCCATCGGTCTGTGCTCCTGTTTGGAGAATCTGCATTTAGAGGAATAATTACATTAGACAAACATCATTATGTCCCTTTTCAGCTCCATTTTCTCTGCTCTGTCTGTTTGATCTGTATGATTGCCTTCCATTCATAATGACTCATGCCTTTCTTTGCTTTCAGAAGTTCAAAATAAGGGAAATGTCAATAGTTAATATTGGGCATTTATTATTAAGAAGCTAAAAATCACCATGGATTTCAACAAAGCCAATAAAGAGGACGTGGACCGGAGATGCAAAAGACCTGGGCACGAGTCTTTCAGTAGGAAAAAAAAAGAAAAGTGGAGCCATTTAAACATATTAAAAATAGATCGGTGTCTTGTTTACTGAAGAAGAAAAAAAAAAGTAAACACAGCTTTGAATTACAGCGATTGGACTTCCAAACAGAAGTGGCTGAGGATCAGTAAAGAACAGTTTAGTTTTATTTATTGAAATTGTCGTCATAGTCATAATCATAATGATGAAACACCCACTGTAGACCGGGCGACTGACAAGTGTGGGATTTGCATGGTAAAACTGTTATTTATACAGTATGTTACATTACACTCATGCAGTCAGCATCCCTACCTTGAAAACAGAGAGTCCTGGGTTTAATTCCCAGAGGAACCTCAAACTTGGCGCCCCCAAGGGGCAGCCTGTTGAAGCAGATCTGCTGTTAACAAGAATTTCCCCAGTGTGGGATCAATAAAGTTCTAATGATTATTCATTATTTTGAGAGTCTGGGTTGTGTTTACAGCTGTCTTGACAACTTGGCCTGTTGTGAATCATTTGTTTTTTTACTGATTTAAACTGGCACAGACTCACAGAGATGTCCCATCATGGCTAACTTCAAATGAAGTTTTTCTTTTTAACCCATTTTTGTTCTTCACACAGCTGTTTTGGTTTGAATGAAGAGTTAGCTACGACTCGACTCTGTCTCTGTCTCTGATGTCTGTGCACTGGCATCGGCAACACTGACTGACTGTTTGATTTACTGTTTGCTGCTTGTTTTGTGCCAGAGCTGTACGGGTGACTGATCTCAGACTGGACATGTGAGAGCTGACAATACCATTGACTATAACTGTGACTAGGATGTAGCTGAAGGCTGAGACCTTCATGGTGAAATCCTCCTTAGATAAAAACATGTATTTTACATAAGATGAACTGTTCACCCTCTCATCATGAACACATTTAAAACACATCAGTTTAACTGTTTCTGTTCATTATCAGCAAAAGCATTTGTAAAGGACCACAACAGTTAAAACACTATGTATTTCCATGGCTAATGGCTTGTTCTACAGTATCAACCTGTTCAGAAGTTCACACCCATGTATATGTCGACCAAATCTGGGGATTATGGTGTGAATGGTTTAATTCTGGAACAAATCAGCAACATATTACAAAAAGACATTTAATAATTATTTAATGTCATCCCTGGGGTTAAACTAAAATAACGGCATCCATTCATTCATTAAACAATAGCCATTATAAACCTAATAAAGAAACATCTGTCGTTCTCATCCTGCTTCAGTCTCGTGAATAAACTCTAGGCAGAGAAATTCGCTCTAGGATCAAATTCAAATTGTGATGTCAGCCAGTTTCAGGTCCACCATAACGAGGGTTGGCCATATTTGGAAAAACAAAGAGGAAAGCAGTTAAGGAGATTAGAGTTTGACCAGGTTTTGTCTGCCTG